TGAATCTCCCCTCGTCCTTGGGGTAGATTCACTCGATTTTGCTCATCCTAAGGTCGCTTTTCCAAGACGACGGGCCAATCTTAGGTAGGCAGGTAGGTAGGTAGGTAGGTTGGTAGGTAGGTAGGTACTCTCTCTCTCTCTCTCTCTCTCTCTCTCTCTCTCTCTCTCTCTCTCTCTCTCTCTCTCTCTCTCTCTCTCTCTCTCTAGTGAGCATGTACCTAGGCGCTATATGCGCCTCGTTCTGGCTCTATGGTGCCCAGACTGTCGAGGTTGCACCCTCCCGATGAGTCGGTGAAACCTCGACGAAACAGTCTGGGACAGACTACCCGTTTGTTCAAAACGAACGGGTTTCCAAAAAAAAATAAAAAAAATCTAAGTTGAATCTATGAAAAGAAATCTAAAATCTAAGTTAGAGAATCGTCAAAAATAAATCTAAAAACAAATAAAAACTAAAAGAAAAAGGAAAACGGCTTGACGGCGCCGTTTTTTCAGGGACTGTAAGTCCCTTTCTTCTTAGTGCGCCACCTGGCGCAGTTCGTTTTTGCTTGCTTTTTTTTTTTTTTTTCTTTTTTTTCTTTTAGAATTCTCGTTGGCTTATGCCAACGGTTGTGCTGTGTTCGTGGGCTCACCCACGAACTGTCGAAATGCAGATCCGAGTTCGAGTCCAGACGGACTCGGAAAAAGTTTGGACCGTTTCTCGATGTATGCGTGTCATCCTTGCGCAGGGGCCATGCTACCACCGCGCGGCCATTCTCGGCCGTGTGATCCTTATGATCACGAGGTCGAGATCGACCGCGCCTCTTAAAGAAAAAAAAATCTCAACAACTCCAAAAGGAGCTGCGCCCAGCTTGTTGGATTCAATCCCGGTCTCAGTCGGGTGATAGTCTTATAACAATACCTACTGGCTAGCTCCTTTTCACATACAGAAAGGAGCAGCCCTTCTATATGAAGGGCTCCTACCGCCCAGCAGGTCCCCATATGGCACTTAGCAGGATTCGTTTGCTTGCGGCCTTACAGACATTCATTGCCTGTGGCCGCGCAGACCCCGCTTGCGGTCCTGCGGCCTTGCTTGCGGCCGTGCAGCCCCACACGCAGTCCTACGGCCTTGCTTGCGGCCGTGCTGCCAGTGAGCCACTTAGACGGCACGACGCACATGTCACAACCGCACACACGACACAACCACCTATTAGACCCACTAAAACCCTGAATCGCGCGGCTGCTACTTTAGGTAGACTAGGTGTAACTCTAGTTTTTTCATGACTGCACACCATCGAGGCTTCGTCGAAAAACCCGCGGATGACAGTGTTGACTCCCACTATCCCGCGCGGACGTCGATGTCATCTTGCATTGACGACGTTAGGTTCTAAAAAGGTTTAGGTCCCTCAGTCATAGCGTTGGTCTGAATAAACGTTTGGCAAACGTCAGTCTCATCAAGTTTTTCAATTCAACGCAAGAGTCGGACAACGCCCGACGTTCAAAAAACACCGGCAAATACCCTTGTCAGGGTTTTTGCCCCGATAGCAATCCCAAACCCCATGGAACGACATCCCCATCGTTCACCCTATATTGGTCAATAATATAGGGCTCTCTGGATTCTTATGGAACTCTTTTCAACAAAATCTCTTTTCAATCGAAAACAAGCCGGAGCTTATAACTAAAATTCGAGGTATTGCCTCAGTAATATAAAAATCAATCATCCATGATTGGAATGGTACCAGATATAGCCTCTGGCAAGCCTTTCACCAAAAGCTGAATTTTGACCGGATCAAGATCCAGAATTACTTAAATTATCAAGGAACTTTGTCTAAATGGTCCTAGCATCATCCCACAGGCGGCAACTCTAAACATTATTTTAGTCTCTCAGAATGGTACCAGAAATAGCCTCCGGCTAACCTTCTAAACCTCAGTCGGTTAATTTATCTAAAAAAAAGAGTCAGGTTTAACCCCCTGACGGGTATTTCAAAATAAATAACCTCCTGAGCGGCCTAGACAAAATCTGAACCAACCATTCATGAGAAAAACCATTTATCAAAAGTCCTTGTCTAGGTTTTGTATCCCGTTTCAATTACGAGTTATCACATATGACATTTTTCCTGCATGCTTTGTGATATGCGTCGAGGAGTGGTGTAATCCTCAAGGGATAACATCTCGAGGTCAAGCCCCGCTTTAGACTCGAGCCTCAACACCTTCCCTCCGATTCCAGTATCATGTGCTCGCCAATCCCCTACCTGCAAGGTTGAACTACCCTTTCTCTATGACCTAGGCTGGTCAGATCCGGCCATAGAGGCGAGGCGACCCCATTCGTCACAAGGTCAAGGTGACCACTCCTTCCCCCATGACGAGCGACAGTCGTCACCCTTACAAGCAAGATTCCAACAATCACAACAATACCTTCCTCCCTTTCAATGATAGTATAGTCACCCTTTTTAAAAAGGAAAAGTGACAGCATCCCACTATGGACCAGGAACAAGTTCCGGCGTAGGCCTCACTACCACCTACAGAGCTCACCGCATCAGGACTCATTATAACATGATAACTAAAGAAAAACATTACGAAAGTCATAGGCTATGATAAATAATTGCATTACATGTTTTGTGAATAACTCATAGTTATGCCACAAGCCATATAACGCAAATTACATATCATTTTCCTAGAATTTTTACAACGAGAATATACATCAAATAACAACAAATATTTTCACAGAGAGTTCCATAACATTCCAGTCTAAAAATATTAATAAATTTGCATTGCATTACATTTCATCGAAAAAAAGTAACAAGAAATCATTCAAATTTAGGAATTAACAAATTTTCAATCCAAAAATCATAACATAATTCCACGAACAAGTGTCGTAGAATTATTAATTATTACAAAAACAATATGGAACCATATGTCCAGAATAAAATAAAATCTCAAGAGTCAAAAGTTACAATTTCTTTGCCTGTCCTCAGAACCAGTCAGCAATTTGTGATCTCATGAAAGAAAGAGAGCAGACAACGAAAAGCAAGTCTCTTTTATCCACAATCTATTCTAACTACAAACTTTTTTATTAAGTCCTTGGAATAAACTTTCTCAAACCAAGTTCTTTCAAACGCAGCATCGTAGAGAAGGACCATATCTCCTACACTCACCCTCTCTTTCCTGATTCTCACATTCTTATCCCATCTCTCTTTACCTTTGTCTCTTTCCACTGCCAGGCGATCTGCCGCTGTCATGAGGTTCTCTTCCAAACCATAGGCTATCTGTCTTGTTCGAGCGGCTATAAGTTCCTCCCTGGACATCTCCTCCGCCCAGTCGACGGTTGTCCAGCTGTCGATGTGAAACTCTATGGGAAGCGGGCAATGTCGCCCAAACCACAAAGTGTAGGGTGGGTATCCGGTACTAGTCCGAACCGTGACGTTGTCCGCCCATATTGCATATCGAAAATATCGTGGCCAATCACTGTCCTTACCCTTGCACCACTTGGACAGTGACGCTATCAGAGTCTGGTGTCCTCTCTCTACTGGGGAGYTCGTCTGTGGGTGATAGGCGGTGGCTATCGAAACTCTCGCCCCAACTCTCTTGAATACTTCCTGAACTTCGTCAGCCAGGAATTCCGATCCTCTGTCCATGACTATCTTGCCGATACAACCATACCTAGATAAGTATTCTAGGACGAAGTTCTTTACCTCCTTTGCTGCTTTACTCCTGATAGGTCTACCGTCCACGAACCCAGTGAAATCGTCTCGTATATTCACGACGTAGTTCATATTGCCTACTCCTTTCGGCATCTTCACTAGATCGATGTGCACCCTCTCTCCTGGCCTGGTCGGATAGGATGGATGAAGTGGCTCTTTATACCTCACATGAGCCCTCTTCTGGCATTCTTCGCAGGTCATACAGTACCTCTCGACGCCCTTATACAGCCCTTCCCACCAGTACAGCCTGCGTACCTTTTCGTAGGTCCCTTTGATTCCCCTATGTCCTTCGACTACCCCGTCGTGAAGCGCCGCAACTATCATCTGTCTCTCCTCAGAATCACAGACCACCTGTAAGGGCATCCCTGATCCTACCGGTCTTCGGAAAAGGTGACCCGCTCTAAGGCAATACTTAACGGCTTGCTTCCGAATATCTGAATCTGGACTCTCCTCACCCATCAGGTGTAGCCCGATCGCTCGGTACTTGCCCTCGTAAAGGTTAACCAGAAATCTCTCAGCTCGTCTTGGCTCCGCCAGCATCAGGGCCCCAGCTACTATCGGCCGCTCGGCCTCAAGAGGAATCCGCGAAAGTCCATCTGCCACTGCATTTTTAGTGTCAGATATCCTTTCCACTGTGTAATCGTACAGACGAATCCGTATCAACCATCGGGCGATGGTCGGGTCTGTCAGACTAAAGTCCTTCTGGAGGACTGAGGCAACTGCGGTAGGGTCTACTCTCAA